AGTCAATCCCGCGCTGGTTTTTTGGGAGACAAACCTTGACCCAACGAGTTTGGGGAGAAAAAAAAAAAAAAAAAAAGTTAGACATACTGTACACAAACCTGTTGAGTGCCACCACAGCTGTGGTTAATTAGGTTTACAACATTCTGACAGACAGGAAACAGCTCACAGATGCAGCGGAGGTTGAAATATGTCGTTAAACCATCTTTGTTTGAGTGTAAGAAAAATAACATTGGTTCTTTGGAAAACTGATCTTTGGGTACGGTATAAAAGTAGGGAGAATACTGATGTCCATAAATATGTCATATATGTATTGCTTTTTATCAATTTACTTAAATTAAATTATTTTACTTTAGTTAAATAAGTTTACTTAATTTTTCAAACACTTAATTTCTGATTCCGACATCAACAGATACTAATAAAGGCCTGGTAATATTTATTTGTTTATCTGTGGAAACCCCTGTAGAGTGTTGCTGGCACCAGCATTCTGCACACAATCCCCTGATTATTAAAATAGATTAATAAAATGAGCTGCAATGCTGCCATCTAGTGACTTTCACTTTAATATGCAGAAATTTCTCCCCAAAACTATTTTTAGAGCACACATTATCTTGCGAAAACCAAACATGCATTTTCGGGGTTTCATTATCTTACAGATATTACATAATAATGCAAATATTGTCTGAAATTAATTAATTATAATTAAAAGAAAAGAGCTGAGTTTTATCTAAAGAAAACCTGTATGTCACCCTTTGGTCCAATGACGTCCTCTAATTCACAGATTTATCATGAGTTGAAGACTAAACCAAGGACATTAAGTATGAGTCACAATTACAGCGGCACATTCAACAACAGTGGCGTCATTTGACATTGCACTGTGACTGCATCTGTACTGCGTATGTGTCCGCAACAAGCGTCCGCTCCGGCAGTTGACCTTATTTAGTCCTTTAATTGCACTTGCGAGGCAGTGATTAAACCTAAGGCTGCCAGAATCCATAACGCACCGTTTCATTTCTAAGTGTCTATTGTGATTTCTGTTACAGTCGGATTTAAGTCATCTGAACTTTGTTTCAGAGCTGTGAAGGTTTTGACTGAACAGGTTGAAGTACTGTGCAGGGACCTGGACCTACCGAGCTGTGAAGGTTTTGACTGAACAGGTCGAAGTATTGTACGAACTACGACGTTTTCTCTTCATCATATTTATAGTTTTGTGTTTAATTTCTGACTCCCACTTTTATCCCCCCTGTCCTTACCTCACATTATAGCATGGGTGATGTACAAGGTGAAAAACAGCAGCATCACCTCTGTGACTCGGTCTCCTGTTGATGCTGTGAATTTGCCACTGACCATCTGTGTGATCGAGTTCAGAACCAATAAGCTCAAACCTGTCTTATGTAATACCACAGATCTTCACTGAACGATTTCTATTTTGGTCGTGCATCCCATAACATGCAGTTCTGTCTCCTGGACAACATTTCCAATAATAGCAGCCGGTGAGGTTGTCATGGATATGGTACCCGTAGTGATGCTCCTCACCTGTCTTTGGTTACACAGGAACAGGAAGGCTGGGAACCAAACTTGCGAGCGAATGTTTGTACATTCAGGAAGGATGAGTTTGGTGCACGCTCGTGTGTTCAGTGTGAGAGACAACATTTTTGGGATGAAATTGAAGTTGAATAGTAGTGAATTCCTCAGTGTCTAAATCGAAGCTGGTTCTGTTTCACTCCTTTGTTCTTTTGTCACAGATGACCTTGTGCTCGTCATCCCTGCAACTAATCTGATCAGTTTGGATACTCTCATAATGACGGAATAATGATGCCATAACAGAGCAATTAGCTAATCAATACACTTGGTTAGGCGCTGATTGATAGGGCAGCATTTACAATTACCTTAAACCTAAGCCCTTGAGCAATCATATATAATTGAATTAGTATTGAAAGGAGTGTGTTGCTGTTCAGCTGCAGGAGGAGGCTCTGGCTTTGACTTCCCACGGTCAGCTGGCTCTGCCTCATCAACTGGAATGGATCAGGACCACCTTTACTGGGGAGGTCATTGAAGGGGTGAGGCAGATCTGCAGAGTTAGTGGAGGTCTTGTTCATCTGCTTTAGGACCTTCATTTTACCTGTGATACCGTACGTCAGTCAGTTGAGGTTCTACACATCCATGATTGAAATGAGCCTGGCTGAAGAAAGTGAAAAAAAGAAGGTTTTGATCATCTTTAAAATGAAGCGTCTGGTTTACCTTAAGCTCAGGTATAAAAAATATAAATTAAAATGAAGCGTCTGGTTTACCTTAAGTACAGCTCAAGTATAAAAAAAATAAAAGAATAACTTTGGAAACCCAGTCTCAAACCCTTTCTCGACCTTTTCTGACCTTTGGTCTTGATCTATTTATTTATTTATTGTTTTCTATCTAGGACCAAAGGTCTGTGGTCCGTCAGATGAAATGTTTCCATCTGGAATTAAAGAATGATAAAACCAGGCCACGCCCTCCTCCTCCTCTGTTAGATTGGTATCTACTCAGGTCTTATAATAAGCCTGTCTGGTGTCCTTACATTTGCCTGTATCAATATCCATATCTGTGTTACCAGTGTCCTTGGGCCTTCATCACCCGACACCCTAGGTGACACTGCAGTGGACTGATCGTCTGCTGGCTGTGCAGTTACAGTAGTGTTTCATCCACTGTTTGATGTCAGTGAATCACCTATTAGAGGTTAATGGACCTCATCATAACACACACACACCCACTTATTAGCTGTGTTTTATGGCTCTCTCTCTCATTAGGACTCTTTTATTCCATGTTTAGTCTCATTTGGTCGACGTCTCGTACCTGATGTAAATCAGGTTATTCTCTGACAAGAGGCTGTACTGAAGAGAGCAACGATAGAGAAAAAAAAAAGCATTTTTAGTAATTCACAGTGTCCAGTAACTTACTCTTTGACTTTAAGGCAGTGCTTCTCAGTTATGCCCCCCCTTGGGGACAGAAATGTTTTCGCACCCCCTCTGACCCACACCCATGTATATTTTTATCTGTACAAACCACTGTATGAGTTGCTGCCACCTAGTGACTGGAGGCTTGTTATCATTCAAGCATTACAGCAGTGGTACACTTATGTCAGCCCCCCCACCCCCCCACCCCCAGGTGGGCCTGCGCTACTATTTGAGAAGTACTGCTTTAAAGACAGATGTCGTTCTTCTCCTTCTCTTCAGCCTCACCTCGGCCGTTTGCTGCTCTGCTGTTGCTCCAACTGCTCTCCTGTTCCTCAACACTGCACCTGTAGTTTTTAATCATTTACACCCACACGTCTAAACCATCTCCAACCTTCATCTTCAAACTTGACGTGC